TCATTTGGGTTTTGTTAACGGTCGATCCAAACTGGTCTGACAGGATACGGCCAAAATCATTAAACTAATCTGAAAGGTGAAAGGGAAGATTAAAAAAACACTGTGCACTTATATTTACTTCCTCTACGGTTTAAAAAGTCCAGATTAAACTGTTTATGTGACAATATTTCATAGAAAACTGAATGGTTGGACAGTCTCGTACTGTCTCTGCTGGAGGGGGCGGAGCCGCGGACACGTCGTGGCGTTCGTGTTTCGTACCTGATTTTGGCGCCGACCCGGACACGCTCAGGTCACACTCCATCTTGGCCGTCTCCCACGGAAACACGGTGGTGGCGTCGGAGCGCAGAGCGACGGAGAAGGACGGACCTGGAATCAAAAGAAACAAACACATGAAGACCAACGGTTTTCTAGAATTCACAGAAAAAACACGACTGACGGCTGCTGGAATTTAACTTTTCTTTTTCTTATCTTCACATTTACAGACGGCTGATACGATAACATCTCCATGGAAACCAGCGTTGGTGGAAAAGTTACACAGTGAACCTTTAAACCAGCGGAGAACAGAAGAAACTGAGTCAGACTCAGGACCTGCCCTGAAATCATCAAGACTTTTTGGATTGTTTTTTTAATCCATATTAAAGTTTTTCCTTTAACACACGAACTCTGCAGATTTACACTGAGTTCTTCTCTCAGAAAACACTGTTCCACCTTGTGATGTCACGTGGTGATACAGAAAGTGCATGGATCTAAACCAGGACTAAACCAGGACTAAACCAGGACTAAACCAGGACTAAACAGATTTCAGCAGGACGAGCCACAGACAAAACAGGGACTAAACTCTGAACTAAACTCTGAACTAAACTCTGAACTAAACTCTGAACTAAACTCTGAACTAAACTTCAGCATAAACACAGATTTAACTAGGCCTAAACCAGGTCAAAACCAGGTCTAAACCAGGTCTAAACCAGGACTAAACCAGGACTAAACCAGGACTAGACCGGGACTAGACCGGGACTAGACCGGGACTAGACCCCGGACTAAACTTCGGACTAAATGTAAGACCAAATTTAGGAGTAAATTTAAGACTAAATTTAGGACTAGAGACTAAACTTCAGACTAAATATAGACGAAACTTTGGGCTAAACTTCAGACAAAACCCTGGACTAAACACAGATTTAATCAGAACTAGACCAGGACTAGACCAGGACTAAACCAGGACTAAACCAGGACTAAACCAGGACTAAGCGTCAGTTTGGTGTGATATAAAACCTTTAAAAAAATATTACGAGAAATGACCCGAGTCTAAAATGACTCTGAAAATGAATCTGAACAGTTTTTTTCCGTGAAGCGTCGCCGTGTTCTTCGTTTACGCGTCTCGTTTTTCCGCCTCTTTCGTTAAAGCGCCGAGTCCATCCATCATTGACGACGTCCGGGGGCAGTTGTGAGCGTTCGGCTCCGGGGACACGTCGGGCCCCGGGGCCACAGCACCGGCAGCTTTCTCTGCTTTAGACGTTTTGCATAATATATTCTCACATTTACGGTTTTAAAGATGTGGACGGCGTTTTCTAAGTGTTCAGGAAACGAGGAACACAAGCTGAGGTTTTCTTTTTTTTCTAGACACAAGTTTAGATTTCAAAGGGAGATGCACAGGGAAAAATACATTTAAATGAAATTTAAATAAAGTGTATAAAAACTATATATCCAGCTGTTCTACAATCTGTATATTGAATGAAACAAACCAATGATGTCATCACACGGCGTTTGTTTGTTTACATGTGAATGTTTCAGAGGAGAAACTAAGTCCAGCGGCAGAGATCATCAGTGCTGTAGCTCCACATTAGGACACCGCGTGAATCCTCCCAAAACTACAGTCGTCACCAGCCCCGGTCCTCAGTTTCACAGACACGGAAATCGTTTCAACTCAATTATATGAATTTGGAGACAGTTTGACACACGTATCGAAATTCAAAATTCAATCTTAATCTCGGGCTTTTCTGTGTGGAGTTTGTGTGTTTCTCTCCGTGTCTGGATGGATTTTCTCTCAAAATAATGCTCCAGGTCTCCAGGAAGAACAGCTGAGAGCTCAGGTCAATATGTGGGTTTCATGTGACGTCACAGGGCGACGTTTGTCAGCGCAAAACCAGACGGAGGAAGTGAACCGACTGGAGGAAAATGCCGATGTGTTGTGTCGTTTACGTCTGTGCCAATCGTTCTAACCGAGAGAAGGAAAAGCCATTTTTTTAGAGAACCGAATATAGTCGAACACAAAGGTCAGAAATGGGAAAAACCGACAGAACAACGCCGTAAAAAGTGGATTATAAACCTGTTTGCAGTCGGGAGGAGCAGAATTCACTAACGCTCGTGTCTGCGGTGACACTTCAACTAAGGTTTGTTACAAAGATAAACTGTTTTTTGTGGTTTATCTAAACATAAACGAATCATTAACGACTAACAGCGTTTGTTGACATTAAATAGTTCAGATCGAGGTCACTGCCGATACACTGCAGTTTTTCCCATAACGTCTACACCAGGGGTGGGCAAACTAAGGCCCGGGGGCCATATGCGGCCCTTTAATCTTTTTAATCTGGCCCGCCAAACTTGAATAATAATAATAATTTTTGGTTTTTAAAAGTCATTTAAATAATGAGTAAATACTGTGGGACTTTTGTTGTAATGCTTTGTAATGGGATATTTCAATAACATGGGATATTTTTTTTCTCTTATGGGGTGGATTACCAAAAAACTTGCTCCTGCTCCGGTCCTTCTGTCAAATTTTAGAACCTTTGTGGCCCACAAGTCAAAACGTTTGCCCGTCCCTAGTTTATACACATAAAATAAGAGAAACACTCACCCCGGCGAAGACCAAACCATAATCATCATTTAGGCGTTTTGCACCGAGGTTGTGGATCCATCCACTCACAAAAAAAGTTCTATGTCTCCAAACGTTTGTACTTTGCCTTCATCTGTTGTCTGGTGTAGAACGACGTCTGAAGAGATAAATAGTTGGTGATCTCCTCTGCCTCGATTGTCGGCAAATCTTTTACTTCGGCTGAAAATTCTCTCATTTTCAATAAGATCAGGGTCACGTCCGATATATTTGTCGACTAACTGCTCGTACTTTTGCCTCGTTACTGCCTCTAAATCCTGACAATAAGAACTCTTCTCCACATCTGTGTTCTCCAGAGCCGCGTTTGTTTGTCGTGTTCGTCTTCACTTCCTGCCCTCCGCCTGAAATTCGCGCGTCACCGTGATCACGTGACTGAAACCCTCCTGTTATGCCCATCCCAAGTCCGCACGGTGCCGGATCAGATCGTCCCGTCGCCGGAGCCGTTTTCAATCGGATTAGTGCGAACGAACACCGCACCCACGACGAAAACGACTCAAATACGAACCAGTGTGGACGGGAGCTCAGTCCACTTCTTTAGACAGTCTGCGGGAATCAGTGCAAACAGTTTTTCTTGTTTTTAAACGCAGTAAAAATGACGTAGAGCTCCTTTAAAGTCTCGCTGATTCATATTAAAATTATAAAAATGCTGGATTACTTAACCTCTTTAACATCGTGTCATAGTAAAGTGTCTTTAATGACCCACCGCTCACATCTATAACGACTCTTTCCCCGGCACTTTAACGCCAAAGTCTTTCTATTACACAAACGCACGCCGGGTGAATTATTTAAAACGCACCGCGGAGACTTTGGCAATTTCCATATGCTCTTCCCACGTCGGATCCTGCGTGGGAGTACGGACACTTAGGGGAAAAAAAAAAAAAAAAAAAAGGAAAAAATATGCACAGCCCTTCAGGCAAAAAACTGGGAAAAATGGCCCTGTCGGATCAGAGACTCGCGTGGGGTCAAAACGTTACGAAAAAACAACAGAAAAACGAGGGATGAGAGACGACGGTGGAGCGAGGGAGGGAGAGCGCGTGATTGGCCGACGGGTTTGGCTTTGATGGCGTTCCCAAAGTGAGATGGAGGACAAGGGAAGAAAAAAGAAAAAAAAAAAAAAAAACACAAAAGAAAGACGGAGGAAAGAGGCCGCTCAAAGGCCGACGCTTCCCCAGAGACGGGCGCTCGTCTCTGGGTCGGGATCCAGCCCCCCCCCCCCCCCCGGAGCTGCTCCCGTCCAGGGCCACGGGGCTAAAATAAGAAACAGATCCACAGCCACCGAACGTCAACATTGACTCTGGAGCGGCTCCGGAGAAACGTGGATCTGAAATGTTTGGAATGTGCATTAAAGACGAACTGTTTTATTTTTAATTTCTGATTGTTGTTTCTCGCCGTTTACTCGGCTCAAGTCGAGTATTTGGAGGGATTTGTGTTTGTTTGAGAAATATTTAAACGCTTCACACGATATATTCACCGTCCACCCACTTCTCCCCACGTGAAATATAAAAATATATAAAAGAGCTACAACTTAAATGTCAAACCGGAGCTACTGGCAAAGACTGAGACCGGGACTGAGACCGGGACTGAGACCGACTGGACTGACTGAGACCGGGACTGAGACCGGGACTGAGACTGACTGAGACCGGGACTGAGACCGGAGACTGAGACGGACTGAGACCGGGACTGAGACCGGGACTGAGACCGGGACTGAGACCGGGACCGGGAGACCGAGACCGGGACCGAGACCGGGACCGAGACCGGGACCGAGACCGGACTCGAGACCGGTTCAGTCCCGGTCTAGTCCCGGTCTAGTCCCGTTTTAGTTCTGGTTCAGTCCCGCTTTAGTCCTGGTTTAGTTTCAGTTTAGTCCTGGTTTATTCCTGGTCTAGTCCTGGTCTAGTCCTGAGTCCTGATCTAGTCCTGGTCTAGTCCTGGTCTAGTCCTGGTCTAGTCCTGGTCTATCCTAGTCCTGATCTAGTCTGGTCTAGTCCTGGTCTAGTCCTGATCTAGTCCTGGTCTAGTCCTGGTCTAGTCCTGGTCTAGTCCTATTGGCAACGGTGAAAACAAACTGCATAGACTCATATCTGAAGAACTGAACCAGGACTGAACCAGGACTAAACCAGGACTGAACCAGGACTGAACAGGACTGAGTGTCAGGACGGGCCCAGAGGTGTGTCCGTGTAGACCGTTGGGTGACCGCGGGTGAAGAGCTCTGCACCTCACGGGGCTCACACAGCCATCGCCTGACTCCTGCTCTCTCTCAAGTCTAAGATCAGTCCTGGTTCAGTCCTGGTTCAGTCCTGGTTCAGTCCTGGTTCAGTCCTGGTTCAGTCCTGGTTCAGTCCTGGTTCAGTCCTGGTTCAGTCCTGGTTCAGTCCTGGTTTAGTCCTGGTTCAGTCCTGGTTTAGTCCTGGTTCAGTCCTGGTTCAGTCCTGGTTCAGTCCTGGTTTAGTCCTGGTTTAGTCCTGGTTTCAGTCCTGGTTCAGTCCTGGTTCAGTCCTGGTTCCCTGGTTCAGTCAGTCCTGGTTCAGTCCTGGTTCCTGGTTCAGTCCTGGTTCAGTCCTGGTTCAGTCCTGGTTCAGTCCTGGTTCAGTCCTGGTTCAGTCCTGGTTCAGTCCTGTTTTAGTCCTGGTTCAGTCCTGGTTAGTCCTGGTTCCTGGTTCAGTCCTGGTTCAGTCCTGGTTCAGTCCTGTTCAGTCCTGTTCAGTCCTGGTTCAGTGGTTCAGTCCTGGTTCAGTCCTGGTTTAGTCCTGGTTTAGTCCTGGTTCAGTCCTAGTCCTGGTTCAGTCCTGGTTGTTGTAGTTTGTGCTTTATGTTCTGTTGGTGATTATAAACGGTGTTAATGTTAATAATGATTTTTACTGGGCTGAAACCTTTATGTTTGTACTGAAAGTGTTGTTTTTTTAAGAGGTGGATTGATTTAAGTGAACTCAAGACGCGTCATCGACAGATTTACCACCAAATAAAAACAAGGTCGTATGAAAACAGACGTCACAGGAGGAAAATAATAATCATGGATCAAATCATCACCAGTGAGAGTTTGTATTTATATAAATCATTATTTATGTTTATTTACACACCAAACTCTGACACAACATGGATCTACTGTGGAGACGACGACAGAGACGCCAAATACAAAGACAGAATCTCATCAGGAAACACGGACACATGAAAAAACAACAGGTTTTTATAGACTTAAAACTTTTCATTTCATACGTGACGGTTTCATTTGCTCTTAGTTTGTTTGTTTTCCGGCGTGTATCTGGATGAATCTGGATCTGGATGAATGCGCTGACGTCTTCTGTGTCGTCACGGTTCACTTAGAAAAACTAGTTTTACTTTTTCGGTTCCTGATGGCTCTGATTTGTGGCGTGAACATGTGAGTTTGTTCAGAGATCAGGTGTGGGAACCAGCACCAGCTCACGTCTCTGTTGGTGTGAAAACAGCCAGTGTCTCTGAGGAGCCAAACGTGAGACTGAGAGACACAAGTCCAGAGTTTATGTCAGACTCAGACTCGTCTCCTCACGACACAGAAACACCAACAGACGTTCAGTTTGTCCATTAAAAATAAACATGATCCACGAAATTCTTAATGATCAATTATCAACTAGTCGACTAATCGTGTCCATCTCTGGTTCTGATGATTAAAATGTTTGTTTCATATGAACACAAAGACTTTTAGTGTCACAGTCATGATTTAGATTTGATTTTTTATTGAACTGTATCGTATCGAAACCTCGCTGTATCGAGGTGCGTGTATCGTATCGAAAGCTGTCTGTATCGAGGTGCGTGTATCGTATCGAAAGCTGTCTGTATCGAGGCGTGTGTCGTATCGAAAGCTGTCTGTATCGAGGTGCGTGTCGTATCGTATCAAAAGCTGTCCCAGTATCGAGACGTGTATCGTATCGAAACCTCGCTGTATCGAGGCGCGTGTATCGTATCGAAAGCTGTCTGTATCGAGGTGCGTGTCGTATCGAAAGCTGTCTGTATCGAGGCGCGTGTATCGTATCGAAAGCTGTCTGTATCGAGGTGCGTGTATCGTATCGAAAGCTGTCTGTATCGAGGCGTGTATCGTATCGAAAGCTGTCTGTATCGAGGTGCGTGTCGTATCAAAAGCTCCCAGTATCGAGACGTGTATCGTATCGAAACCTCGCTGTATCGAGGCGTGTATCGTATCGAAAGCTGTCTGTATCGAGGTGCGTGTATCGTATCGAAAGCTGTCTGTATCGAGGCGTGTATCGTATCGAAAGCTGTCTGTATCGAGGTGCGTGTCGTATCGAAACCTCGCTGTATCGAGGCGTGTATCGTATCGAAAGCTGTCTGTATCGAGGTGCGTGTCGTATCGAAACCTCGCTGTATCGAGGCGTGTATCGTATCGAAAGCTGTCTGTATCGAGGCGCGTGTCGTATCGAAAGCTGTCTGTATCGAGGCGTGTATCGTATCGAAAGCTGCCTGTATCGAGGTGCGTGTCGTATCGAAAGCTGTCTGTATCGAGGCGTGTATCGTATCGAAAGCTGTCTGTATCGAGGCGTGTATCATATCGAAAGCTGTCTGTATCGAGGCGCGTGTCGTATCGAAAGCTGTCTGTATCGAGGCGTGTATCGTATCGAAAGCTGTCTGTATCGAGGTGCGTGTCGTATCGAAAGCTGTCTGTATCGAGGCGTGTATCGTATCGAAAGCTGTCTGTATCGAGGTGCGTGTCGTATCGAAAGCTGTCTGTATCGAGGCGTGTATCGTATCGAAAGCTGTCTGTATCGAGGCGCGTGTCGTATCGAAAGCTGTCTGTATCGAGGCGTGTATCGTATCGAAAGCTGTCTGTATCGAGGTGCGTGTCGTATCGAAAGCTGTCTGTAACGAGGCGTGTATCGTATCGAAAGCTGTCTGTATCGAGGTGCGTGTCGTATCGAAAGCTGTCTGTATCGAGGTGCGTGTCGTATCGAAAGCTGTCTGTATCGAGGTGCGTGTCGTATCGAAACCTCGCTGTATCGAGGCGTGTATCGTATCGGCAGTTTCTTGATGACTTATTAGTGAAAAACTACAAAGTAAAACGTTACGATGATGAATAAAACTTCGGTAACTCGTTCATTCTGACTCATTCTAGAATTAAAATTAAAAATCGGTTTGATGACGTTGGAGGAAGAGTCCATTTGTGTGTTTTGTTTCTAAATTAAACCCGCGGCTCTTTCACTTTCACTGTAACGATTCTGAACAGCAACAAAAAAAAAAAAAAAAAAAAAAGTAGTTCAGTGGTTCTCGCGCGTCTTTGTTGTTTGGAGTCTTATTTCTTATTCCCTCTGTCCACTCCTCCCTCACTTCTCTCTCTCCTCTCTTCATTTTTTATGTATTTTTTTTTTTTTTCCCACAATCCCTCTCTCGCGTTCAGATCAAAACGGGTAAACTAGGCCAGTGGCTGCGCAAAGGCGTCGGAGCTAAAGCCTGTTTATGTTGTTCCGTATCAGGACGATGGTGACTAAGCCCAAAGCCGGAGTGGGCGGAGCTCGGGCGACGGCGTTTACTTCGTTTACGTCGTTAATGAAGGATTTGGAAAAGTGGAAAGTTAAAGATGATGTGGATCTTACGTAAACTTTACTCTTCAAACTGTGGGTCGTGTGTGTGTGTGTTTATTTGTTTTTCAAAATAAAATCAAAAATAAGAAAATGAAAAAAAAAAAAAAAAAAAATATTTTCTTCATTTTTCTAGATCGGGACCAGACCAGGACCAAGACCGGGACTGAGACCAGGACCAAGACCGGGACTGAGATCGGGACGGAGACTGGGACCGGGACCAAGACTGAGACCAGGATCATACCGGGACTGAGGCTGGGACTAAAACCAGGACTGAAACCAGGACTGAAACCAGGACTGAAACCAGGACTGAGACCCTGACCAGACCGGGACTGAGACCGGGACTGAGACCGGGACTGAGACCAGCACTGAGACCTGAGACCGGGACCTGAGACCGGACTGAGACCGGGACTTGAGACCGGGACTTGAGACCGGGACTTGAGACCGGGACTTGAGACCGGGACTGAGATCGGGACTGGAGACTGGGACCTGACTGGGACTGGGACCAAGACTGAGACCAGGATCATACCCGGACTGAGGCTGGGACTAAAACCAGGACTGAGACCAGGACTGAGACCCTGACCGGGACTGAGACCGGGACTGAGACCAGGACTGAGGCCAGGACTGAGACCCTGACCAGACCGGGACTGAGACCAGGACTGAGACCAGGCCCGAGATCTGAACCGAGACCGGGACCGAGACCTGGACCGAGACCGGGACCAGACAGGGACTGAGACCAGGACCAGACCAGGAGTGAGACGGGAACCAGACCAAAACCAGACCAGGAGAGGACAAGACCGGGACTGAGACCGCTTTAGACCTGGTTTGGATCTGGTTTAGTCCTGGTTCAGTCCAGCATCTCAGTTTAAGTCACGGAAACGGGAAACGAACAAAACGTCCAGGAATAAATTAATTCAGCTTTAAAATCTGAATAAACCAAACACCAACTCGGAATTAAATTAAAATTCCGAATCGTCTTTTTCTTCAGGAATTAAGTGTTTACATGGAATTAATTTTTATCCAGAATTAAATCTCTCATGTAAACGTGGCAACTCACATGCTCAAAACACTCTGTTCCACCTTGTGATGTCATGAAGTGGGACTTTTCAAATTAAAAGCTCTGTTTTTCTAGGTATTTTCGAGCTCTAAAACCACCTGTAACTGAATAAATGTAAAGTCGAGCTGTTTAAAGTCACACTGTGGGACATTTCGGACAGAGCACTGACGTCTCTATAGCAACAAGCAACCGAAAAGTTCCGCAGTGCAGCTTTAGTTTGTCGTAGTGTAACAGAGGATAAAGTCTGACCGTTCTCCTGGTAGTGGACCTTGATCTTGTTGGACTCGGCGCTGGTGGCCCTGGTCCAGGTCTGGCCCGGGTTCTGTTTGGTGAACGCCGTGATGTCGCACCAGTAAAAGCCGCGGTCCGAGAGCTGGACTCCGCCCACACGGAAACGGAACTCCGACGCTCCGGACTTCAACAGGACCAACTGATCCCTGAAACGAAAAGACAAAAAACTCTAAACCAGAATTCAACCAGGCCTAAATCAGGACTAAACGAGAAATAAAACCAACTGTAAACCAGGACTAAACTAGAACTAAACCAGGACCAAGTCAAGAGTAAATTAGGACTAAACCAGGACTCCCTAGTCTAAACCAAGATAAACAAGGACTAAACCAGGTCCAAACCAGGTCTAAACCATGGACTAAACCAAGGACTAAACCAAGGACTAAACCAGGTCTAAACTAGGTCTAAACTAGGTCCAAACTAGGACTAAACCAGGACTAAACCAAGGACTAAACCAGGACTAAAACCAGGACTAAAACCAGGACTAAACCCAGGACTAAAAGCAGGACTAAAACCAGGATTAAACCCAGGACTGAAAAAAGAACTAAAGCAGGTCCAAACCAGGACTAAAACCAGGACTAAAATCAGGACTCAAACCAAGACTAAAACCAGGACTCAAACCAGGACTAAAACCAGGACTCAAACCAAGACTAAAACCAGGACTCAACCTGGTCTAAACCAGGTCTAAACCCGAACTAAATCAGGACTAAACCAGGACTAAAATCAAGTGTAAACCAGTTCTGAAACCTACTTGAAATCAGAACTAACCCAGGTCTTGCTCAGGTCTAGTCCAGGTCTAGGTCCAGGTGTAGTCCAGGTGTAGTCCAGGTGTAGTCCAGGTCTGGTCCAGGTCTTGGTCTCAGGTCCCAGGTCTAGTCCAGGTCTGGTCCAGGTCTAGTCCAGGTCTGGTCCAGGTCCAGGTCCAGGTCCAGGTCCAGGTCTAGTCAGGTCTGGTCCAGGTCCAGGTCTAGGTCTGGTCCAGGTCTGGTCCAGGTCCAGGTCCAGGTCCGGTCCAGGTCCAGGTCCAGGTCTAGGTCCAGGTGTAGTCCAGGTCTGGTCCAGGTCGGTCCAGGTCTGTAGTCCAGGTGTGGTCCAGGTGTCAGGTCCAGGTCCAGTCCAGGTGTAGTCCAGGTCTGGTCCAGGTCTGGTCCAGGTCTGGTCCAGGTGTGGTCCAGGTCTAGTCCAGGTCCAGGTGTAGTCCAGGTCTGGTCCAGGTCTGGTCCAGGTCCAGGTGTCCAGTCCAGGTCTGGTCCAGGTCGTCTGGTCCAGGTCCAGTCCAGGTGTAGTCCAGGTGTAGTCCAGGTCTGCTCAGGTCTGGTCCAGGTCTAGTCCAGGTGTGGTCCAGGTGTAGTCCAGGTCTGGTCCAGGTCTGGTCCAGGTGTAGTCCAGGTCTAGTCCAGGTCTGGTCCAGGTGTAGTCCAGGTCTGGTCCAGGTGTAGTCCAGGTCTGGTCCAGGTCTGGTCCAGGTGTAGTCCAGGTCTGGTCCAGGTCTAGTCCAGGTCCAGTCCAGGTCCGGTCCAGGTCCTTGTACCTGCGTTTGGGGTCGGTGGCTCCTCCGTGCTGAACCACACCGTCCGGACTCAGGGACATGATGGTTTTGACGACGGCGCCGACGCTGTCCTGTGATTGGACGAGGACGGAAAACCCCGCCTCCCCCAGATTCTCCGTCGTCATCGAGCAGCTCATCTCAAACGTAGCTCCGCCCACCGTCGCCTCGCGCACCGTTTTGGCCACGACGTGCAGAACCGGACCTGGAAAAGAAAAACAAAAAAAACAGACCAAATCAGAATTTCAGTGTTTTTATGTCTTTTTATCATTTTATTCAAGGTGTTTTTGTTTATTTTTGTTTAGTTTTAGGCTCAAAAAATAAATACTTGGTCCTGTTAAACTGCACTGAGGCCGGTTACAGGTCACATCTGTGGAGAGGCGAGCCTGTTCACAATAAGAAACATGTTTTTAAGTGTATTTTTAAACAATAACCTCCAGCAGAAAGGTTCCAGAGTGCAGCTTTAACACTTTTCTGGCCCGGGGGTTTTAATCTCATTTTTAAAAATACATTTCTAACATTTTTCTGTCTTTATTCTCCTTTTTGTTTATGATCAAAATAAAATCTCTGGAGTCTCATATTTTGGGTCAGAGTCATTTTAAATATTTTGTTCTTTTTAACAAAATGCAAATTCACAAAAGAAATAATTGCTTGGCATTTGGGAAATTCCAGGAAACGGGCCGTCAGCGTCTTTGTGTCGGTTTTATTTTGGGGCAGATCTTGAACCCCCTGACCCCCTGCTGTGCCCTCTGTGCCCTCTGTGCCCTCTGTGCCCTCTGTGCCCTCTGTGCCCTCTGCGCCCGCCGCTGCGCCCGCCGAGGTCTGGGGTCCTCGACACAAAACTCTGACTGTTCTCATCAAAAACTCGACTGTCTGAGCTGAAAACTGAGCAGAGTTTAAATAAAAACTCTTTTCATTTTGTCTGGAGTCTGGACGCAAGAGTCACAATGAAGAAAAAGAGTTTAGAACAAACCACTCCAGATATTTATATCTAAAAGACACAGTCCGGGTTTAGTCCGGGTTTAGTCCGGGTTTAGTCCGGGTTTAGTCCGGGTTTAGTCACTTTGTTTTAGCATTAGTCTGGTTCTGTTCAGTAGTCATAGACATTAGGGCCTGATCGATATATCGGTTGGCTGATATTATCGGCCGATATGTTCACTTGGAGACATATCGTCTCTTGCCGATATGAGCCGACAGTCGACGTGTGCAGGTTGTACCTCATAAAGCTCAGATATTATGTTAATTTAATGATATTCACATATTTTACATGTGACGCTGCATCAGTTTTTATCAGACGAGTCATTTGTGTGACACCAAACTGAACACACACACACACACACACACACACACACACACACACACACACACACACACACACACACACACAGACACACACACACACACACACACACACACAGACACACACACACACACACACACAGACACACACACACACACACACACAGACACACACACACACACACACACAGACACACACACACACACACACAGACACACACACACACACACACACACAGACACACACACACACACACACACAGACACACACACACACACACACAGACACACACACACACACAGACACACACAGACACACACACACACACACACACACACAGACACACACAGACACACACAGACACACACACACACAGACACACACACACACACACACACACAGACACACACACACACACACACACACACACACACACACAGACACACACAGACACACACACAGTCATGTGACATGTGTGTTTGTTCACACTCGTGCACAGTCACAGATTCATCTGCACACGGCTCCTGATCTTTTTCACTGACTAAATTTCTAAACTTTTCCATGACTTGTCAAATTCAGGCCTGGGGGCCAAATTTGGCCCACAATATAATTATATTTGGCCCGTGAGATCAAATTAAATCTGTATTAGAGCTGCCGCTGCACACAGATCGACTATAGAGACATTATTTATTTAAAAAGTTGTTATTATTTTATATTCTGTTTGTTCTGGATTCAGTGTTTAAACAAAACTTTTATTAAACATTTATTTGAATAAGAAAAGGCCTCTGTCAATTTGAGTTTGACACTCGTGTTTTAGGACTAAATCTGAAATGTTTCACTTTTTCCACTCACTTTATGATTTGGGATTATAATTTTTAAACATTTAAAATCCTTTTATTCTCTTTTAAATAAAAGATGCAAACGTTCACAAATAATCAGAACAGACTCATGAAAACTGAACAGAACACTGGAGCTGTGTAGTAGTAACAGTAGTAGTAGTAGTATTTGTAGTAGTAGTAGTATTTGTAGTACGTACGTTTCAGTTCCCATTTAACAGGAAGCGCTGGACTCGGTTGTTCTGTTGTTTTTATAAATCCTCCCTGTGAGTTCGGGGTCCAGGCCGAGACTAAACACGAGTACAGCCCCATGTCCACCTCCTGCGGGAAAAAACACGTCAACACGAAAAACACGTCAACACACACTAGCAGGCTAACGGAGCACGTCCTGATCACGGAGCAGTACCTGTGTGCGGGTGAAGCGGAGCCTGAACGTGTCGGGCTGGACTCGGTGTAACGTCACGACTCCTCGGTCCAGACGGTCCGAGTACGTCGCCCCCGGCAACAGGTTCCCCCCCGCGTCCAACGAGCCAATGGGATTCAAGCTCTGAGGACCACTTCCTGTTCCTGAAAAAAATATAAGTATGCAGTAGAAGTTGTAGTTGAAGTTGTAGTAATATTTGTAGTAGTAGTAACAGTAGTGAGTCAGTTATTTTTCAGTTGACCACTTTAGTCCTGGCCTAGTCCTGGTCCAGTCCTGGTTCTTTTCTGTCCCTGGTCTGGTCCTGGTCTAGTCCTGGTCCTGTTCCAGTCCTAGGTCTAGTTCTGGGTCTAATTGTGGGTCTAATTCAGGTCTAGCCCTAGTCTGGCCCTGGTCTAGTCCTGGTCCTAGTCCCAGTCTAGACCTGGTCCTAGGTTTAGTTCTGGGTCTAGTTCTGGTTTGGTCCTGGTCTCATCCTGGGTCTTGTCCTGGGCCTCATTCTGATCTGGTCCTGGTCTAGTCCTGGGTCCAGTTCTGGGTCTAATTCTGGGTCTAATTCTGGTCTGGCCCTGGCCCTGGTCTGGTTCAGTCCTAGTGTGGTCCTAATTCAGGCCTGCTCTGGTCCTGGTCCAGTCTTGGTCTAGTCCCGGTCTAGTCTTGTTACAGTCCTGGTCCTGGTACAGTCCTGGTCTTGCTCTGATCCTGGTTCTGGTCCTGGTTCTGATCCTAGTCTGGTCCTGTTTCAGTTCTTGTCTAGTCCTGCTCTGGTCTGGTCTTGGTCTGGTCCTGGTCCCATCTTGGTCTAGTCCTGGTCCCAGTCCTTCTCTGGTCCTTCTCTGGTCCTGGTCTGGTCCTGGTCTGGTCCTGGTCTGGTCTGTCCTCCTTCTGGTCCTGGTCTGGTCCTGGTCTGGTCCTGGTCCTGCTCTGGTTATAGTCCAGTCTTGGTCCAGTCCTGCTCTGGTCCTGGTCCTGGCCCTGGTCCTGGTCTGGCCCTGGTCGTAGTCCTGGTCCTGGTCCTGGTCTTGGTCCAGTCCTGATCCTAATCCTGGTCCCAGTCTAGTCCCGGTCTTGGTCCTGCTCTGGTCCCGGTCTAGTCCTGGTCCTAATCCTGGTCCCAGTCTAGTCCTGTCTTGGTCCTGGTCTAGTCCTGGTCCCGGTCTAGTCCTGGTCCTGGTCCCGGTCTTGGTCCTGGTCTTTTATACCGGTGCTGTGTTGCCAGGTAACGGCGAGTCTTCCTCCTGGGGGCAGGTTGGTGATGTTGGTCACGTGACACGCCAGCTCCATGGGGTCAGAGGTCAACTTCGGGGTCGCGACGGGTTCAAGGGTCAAAGTGAAACTGGGCTCTGGAGGAAAAACAAAAACAAAAAACAAAACAAAAACAGAATCAGAAACAGAAACAGAAACAGACAGAAACAGAGACACGGTTTATGTAAGATCAGGAAAATAAATATAACTAAAAATAAAACTTTATGACAGTGACAGTTTGTAAATGTTTCTCTTTATTTATGTGATTCAGATCAAGTCCCCGAGATCTGAAACAGGAACGATTCTTGGATTAGACCAGGTTTTTGTGTTTTTTAGTCTGGTTTAGTTCTGTGTTAGTCCTCTTTTAGACCAGGTTAAGTGCTACATTTAGACCTGGTTTAGACCTGAATTACTCTGAGTTTAGGCCACAGTTAGTCCTGGTTTAGTCCTGGTTTAGTCCTGGTTTAGTCCTGGTTTAGTCCTGGTTTAGTCTTGGTCTAGTCTTGGTCTAGTCTTGGTCTAGACCTGGTTTAGACCTGGTTTAGTCTTGGTTTAGTCTTGGTTTAGTCCTGGTTTAGTCCTGGTTTAGTCCTGGTCTAGTCTTGGTCTAGTCTTGGTCTAGTCTTGGTCTAGTCTTGGTTTAGACCTGGTTTAGTCCTGGTTTAGTCCTGGTTTAGTCCTGGTTTAGTCCTGGTTTAGTCTTGGTCTAGACCTGGTTTAGACCTGGTTTAGACCTGGTTTAGTCCTGGTTTAGACCTGGTTTAGTCCTGGTTTAGTCTTGGATTAGACCTGGTTAGACCTGGTTTAGACCTGGTTTAGTCCACAGTTAGACCTGGTTTAGACCTGGTTTAGTCCTGGTTTAGACCTGGTTTAGACCTGGTTTAGTCTTGGTTTAGTCCTGGTTCAGACCTGGTTTAGTCCTGGTTTAGACCTGGTTTAGTCCTGGTTTAGACCTGGTTTAGACCTGATTTAGTCTTGGTTTAGTCCACAGTTAGACCTGGTTTAGATTTCCTTTTTTTTTTTTTTTTTTTTTTTTTTTTTTAAATCACTCACAACACAAACACACTCACCGTTTTTCTTAGTTCTTATCTTAATTTTAATTTTTTTTAAAGATGCCAATTTTTTATTTTTTTATTTATTTTTTGTACAAACTAATAATAAAACGTAAAAGAAGCCACAAAATGTATCGTTAATTGTCTCAAAATAAAATAAAACGTTAAAGAAAAGCCTGAGCTTCGTTAAAAGTCGTGGATGGATCTAAGATTTGATTTCAAGTTTTTATTTTATTTTTATTTTTTTTTAAGTGCACCAAGTTAGTACAAGTTCTGATTTGATCATCTAAGCTTTTCCAAAAGTTCCGCAGTGCATCTTTAATTAATATCTTTAAATCAGCTTGAACAGGTTTGCAAAAAGGTGATGTTTATTTCAATAGATCTTTTTGTTCTTTTTTATTCCAACACGATTCTGGTTTTAGGATTAAAAATAAACTCGAGGACCAGAGCCACAGTTTTCTAAAATAACCCCGACCAGGTGAGCGTTAAAAATCCTAAAACAGACTGCACCTGAACGCACCACTGAACAGGAAATACAGACCACGGCCCAAAAACCTCAAACTGTGTGTCGCTTGTTTTTCAAAATAAAACCAAAAATAAGAAAAAAAAAAACCCAAGGATTTTCTTCTTTATTTGTCTCCAAAACCAAAATGAAAAAAAAAGAAGAAAAAAAAGATAATGATTCACTTTTCAGTTTTTGATTTTGTGTTGAAATGAAAAATGGAAAAAAAGTGATAACGGAAAAAACAAGGACTAAACCAGAACAAGGTCTAAAACCAGGACTCAACCAGGATTAAACCAGGACTCAACCAGGACTCAACCAGGTCTAAACCAGGTCTAAACCAGGACTAAACCAGGACTAAACCAGGACTCAACCAGGACTAAACCAGGACTAAACCAGAACTAAACAAGACTAAACCAGGACTAAACCAAGACTAAACCAGGACTAAACCAGGACTAAACCAGGACTAAACCTGGACTAAACCAGGACTAAACCAAGGACTAAACCAGGACTAAACCAGGACTAAACCAAGACCAAACCAGGACTAAACCAGGACTAAACCAGGACTAAACCAAGACCAAACCAGGACTAAACCTAGGACTAAACCAAGGACTAAACCAGAGGACTAAACCAGGACTAAACCAAGACTAAACCAGGACTAAACCAGACTAAACCAGGACTAAACCAAGACTAAACCAGGACTAAACCAGGACTAAACCAGGACTAAACCAGGACTAAACCAGAACTAAACCAGAACTAAACCAGGGCTAAACCAGGACTAAACCAAGACTAAACGAGAACTAAACCAGGACTAAACCAAGGCTAAACCAGGACTAAACCAAGACTAAACCAGGACTAAACCAGCATGAAACCAGGACCAAACCAGGACCAGACTGGTAGTGAGACCAAAAATGAGACCAGGATTGAGATTGGAACCAGACCAGGACCAGACCTGGACTGAAAATGGTTTATAGTCCTGGTTCAGTCCAGGTTCAGTCCAGGTTCAGTTCTGGTTAATCCTGGTTTAGTCCTGTTTTAGGCCTGGGTTAGTCCTTGACCTGACACCAGACCTGGTTCAGTTCTGGTTTAGTCCTTTTTTTTTTAATCATTTTTTTCCATTTTTTCATTTAAACACAAAATTGAAAACTGAAAAAAATAAATAAATAAATAAAATAAAATAATAATAAAAATCAAAAATAGTTGCTTTTTTGTTTTCTTATTTTTGTTTTTTTTTTGAAAAACAAATGAATGAACGACACAGATTCTCCTCTCATTTCTCTGTTTTCTTTCTTTCTTTTTTTTTTCCTCGCTCAGAAAAACTCACAGGTGTAAAATGTGTAAAAATCGAGGCTCTGGCAAAGCGGTGTGTTTAAGTGACGTCAGGAAAGAAGAGCCTCTGAGTCACGCTTTGTCACCATCTGTCCCTGAACGCGTCGTGCCAGTGAACAGGTCGCACTTCCTGTACACAAAGCGGCGGCGGCGGCGGCGGCGGCGGCGTGGAGGAGCGAGGCTGTTTACACGACGACACAAACGCAAAGAGACGCAGGATTTCAAAGAGACTAAATATAGACGCGTGCGGATCCGAACGCGGGATTAAGGAAGAAAATATGAGGAATTATGCGAACGGCGGCATTCAACCGTCAACCACGTCAGGAATATTTAAACGGGGAAACAAAGAAGAGAAACATGAGCAGATTTTTTAAAACGCTGATTTAAAACAGAAAAACATTAAAGATGAAACATTAAACTTTAAACATTAAACATGAACCGAGGAGAGAGAAAAAAAACAGATGTTACATAACAACTACAGGAAAATAATACTGAAGTACAAGTAGTAGTAGTAGTAGTAGTAGTAGTAGTAGTAGTAGTAGTAGTAGTAGTAGTAGTAGTAGTAGTAGTAGTAGTAGTAGTATTAGTAGTAGTAGTAGTAGTAGTAGTAGTAGTAGTAGTAGTAGTAGTAGTAGTAGTAGTAGTAGTAGTAGTAGTAGTAGTAGTAGTAGTAGTAGTAGTAGTAGTAGTAGTAGTAGTAGTAGTAGTAGTAGTAGTAGTAGTAGTAGTAGTAGTAGTAGTAGTAGTAGTAGTAGTAGTAGTAGTAGTAGTAGTAGTAGTAGTAGTAGTAGTAGTAGTAGTAGTAGTAGTAGTAGTAGTAGTAGTAGTAGTAGTAGTAGTAGTAGTAGTAGTAGTAGTAGTAGTAGTAGTAGTAGTAGTAGTAGTAGTAGTAGTAGTAGTAGTAGTAGTAGTAGTAGTAGTAGTAGTAGTAGTAGTAGTAGTAGTAGTAGTAGTAGTAGTAGTAGTAGTAGTAGTAGTAGTAGTAGTAGTAGTAGTAGTAGTAGTAGTAGTAGTAGTAGTAGTCAGTAGTAGTAGTAGTAGTAGTAGTAGTAGTAGTCCTTGGTCTGGTCCTAGGTCCTGGTCCTGGTCCTGGTCCTGGTCCTGGTCCTGGTCCTGACACGTGTCCTCAGCAGGGAGGAAGTCCTGAAGTCCTGGTCCTGGTCCTGTGTCTCAGCAGGGAGGAGAGTTGAAGTGTCAGTCCTGGTCCTGGTCCAGTCCTGGTCCAGTCCTGGTCCTGGTCCTGGTCCTGGTCCAGTCCTGGTCCTGGTCCTGGTCCACTCGTGTCTCAGCAGGGAGGAGAGTTGAAGCGTCAGTCCTGTGGTGTCAGCTGCTCTTCAGGGACATTTCTGTGACTCTGGCCTCAGCAAAAAAACAACAAAACAACTAAACTCCAGACAGATGTGAGACCAGAGTCCACCAGAGTCCACCAGAGTCCACCCGAGTCCACCCGAGTCCACCCGAGAGTCCACCGAGTCCACCAGTCCACCAGAGTCCACCAGAGTCCACCAGAGTCCACCAGAGTCCAGTCCACCAGAGTCCACCAGAGTCCACCAGAGTCCACCAGAGTCCACCAGAGTCCACCAGAGTCCACAAGAGTCCAGTCCACCAGAGTCCACCAGAGTCCACCAGAGTCCACCAGAGTCCACCCGAGTCCACCAGAGTCCACCAGAGTCCACCAGAGTCCACCAGAGTCCACCAGAGTCCACCAGAGTCCACCAGAGTCCACCAGAGTCCACCAGAGTCCACCAGAGTCCACCAGAGTCCACCAGAGTCCACCAGAGTCCACCAGAGTCCACCAGAGTCCACCAGAGTCCACCAGAGTCCACCAGAGTCCACCAGAGTCCACCAGAGTCCACCAGAGTCCACCAGAGTCCACCAGAGAGTCCACCAGAGTCCACCAGAGTCCACCAGAGTCCCACCACCAGAGTCCACCAGAGTCCACCAGAGTCCACCAGTCCAGTCCACCAGAGTCCAGAGTCCACCAGAGTCCACCAGAGTCCACCAGAGTCCACCAGAGTCCACACGAGTCCACCAGAGTCCACACGAGTCCACACAGAGTCCACACAGAGTCCACCGAGAGTCCACCAGAGTCCACCAGTCCACGAGTCCACAGAGAGTCCACACCACACGAGTCCACACGAGTCCACACGAGTCCACACGAGTCCACACGAGAGTCCACACGAGTCCACACGAGAGTCCACCGAGTCCACCAGAG